GCACGGCATCAGGAATCACCAAATAAAACATAAAGGGCCATGGGAACATATGGGAACTGGAACCCAATGCTGTAAATATATGTGTAAAGACAGTCTGTGGCATCTGTGGCTCTGGGGTTGCCTTCGGTATTCAACCAGAGACAGCGAGAGCCACCACAAAACACAACATGCTTAACAATCCTCCAAGAGGTCTCAACTTGAAAAGGTGTCTCTTCATCAGTGACACTACCGTGTCAGCCGAGAGACGATCCATGGTGGGCAACAGGAAGCTCAAGGTCTTTCCTCCACCGGTCTCCGCTCTAACGACCAGGTCCTGGTGGCAAAGGAATCCATCCACAGTTGCTCCGGATGAGACATTACTAGTAGCTTCTTGTTACTAGTAGTAATTAGTAATGCCCTTGTTACTAGTAGCGACGGCCTCCAACCTAAGTGCTCTGCCATCATTTCTAGGCTCTTGGTTCTTGGTCTTCCGCAGCTTTCCGAGATTTTAACTGCAATGTGATGTGGGCTCAAATATTGGCACTCCTTGAATTGTATCTGTCAATACCGCGACAAAAATAGAACTCATACCAATAAAGCTTTCAGATGCCTCAAAATGGAATAGCCGGACGTTCACATCGGAAAAGAGGTCGAACCTTCCCAAATAGATGAAGTTGTTGTCTTCCCAACCGTCCCAAGTGTCCATGGTTGTCCGCCAGAAGGTAGCTCTGTATGAGGCTATATATAGGCCAGTATTTTTAGCCATGGTGGCAGCTGGTAGATTCCAATTACTTTCCACTACAACTGTAGTGGTTACCAAAGGTCAGTATCAGATGAGTCCCCCTAAAAACTGCACTGGAGATCCCACACTCCGACTCTGGTGGTTTGTTTCTCTCTCTCTCTCTCTACCTCTCTCTACACACACACACACTACTGCCAGAAACCCGCATCCGCTGGATGTTCTGAGCACTCCTGCCCATCGCAGATGGGCTCAAAGGTCTCTTGCTGCACTTCCTTTCGGTGGCACCAGTTACCCAAGTAGCACACCGAATATCCGAGAAGACGTTGCTTGGGATCCACCCAATCTTTTGAAGACACAATATGTGGACAGTCATGAAAGTATATTAGTATGTATATAACTGTATTTCCTGTGTATAAATATATATATATGTGTATAAATGTGTATATATATACACACATCATGTAGCCGTTTGATTTGCTGCATCTCTGTTTCAGCACTCAGCACCAATTGGTCCAAGACTCTGTCAAAGTCTCAAAGCCCAAGTCCGCAACGGCAGCCTAGCTTGGCTGCGGCTGTTGCAACACTGTTGCAACATGGGAACCACTCCCCAAAGGATCCACAGGGACTCTGCAAGGACAAATTCCAATTACATATGTACATTAAGGTCGCTGTCGAGTCTGAAAAGGGTGGTGTCCACTTGTTCAAAGTGTTGGAGATAGACTCTGTCAGTGATGGAGTCGGCGCTTCTATTTCCAAAAACATCAAAAAACTAAGGAACCCTTTAGGACACACAAGATAACCCAAACTATCCATTCGGCTTTCGCACTTTACTATGTGATCAATCTGCTAATGCCCAAGTGGCTGACAAGGCAAAACGCAAAAAGACCAGTTTAGGGCAGTCCAAACCTCCTTGTACTGAATCCATCACCGCCAGAGCCCCTTTGATGCTGTTGGATGTTACACTGCACCGTTTCGACATGCAAAGCCCCTGCCTTCGCCTCCTTTGAAAGTGGCAACTCCTGAAAGGTCTGGATGGCCTGCGACAAATGGGTGTAGATACAAGGACAGCACGACACATGTGTTGAATCAGGTCAAGACGAGGTATGGCCACTGCCTGCCATGTATGTGGTTCAAGTTCAAGACCAACACCTGAATCTTCAACCGGCGTTGAGTTGATTCATTGTTGACTGGACCGAAACTCCCCCATGCTGGAAGGGAACCTTAAAGTCTCAATGCCCACCACGGGTCAACATTGTTCAACGAGAATCAGTGGGTTGATTTACCCAACGCACCACGTCATCTCCCATGTCCGCCGCCTTCGTTCCAAGGCCACGTGGAATCAAGGGTCGCCTAGGCGGAAGGTGAGTAGATCCACGCTAGAAGAGACAAGCGCTACAAATACTTCCTGGTTGCCCACTGGGGATTTGTATATTTAACTTGGAATTGATTTCTGCCGGGTACTGTACTACTCCTGGTATTTCCGGTCTAGGCGAAATACATCGAAATACTGTCGTGGTTTGAAACCCCAGGAGCTTTCCTTTGGCTACGTTAGCTTGACTGCCCATCATAGCTATTATCGTGGCAATCCGTTCAATTCCGAAAAAGAATCTTGAGAGGCTGTAGATCCCTCCACTTGATAAGGTTCCGTGATTTTCAAGGTGGCATCTATTTGGACATCTCTCAAGTCTCGGTTGCTCATACTGGCCCTGAGCCTGCGGCCTCAGATTCCACCGATCTGAAACAACCGAAAGAGATCCCTTTCTTTTGCTTCTTGTTACTAGTAGCGTTCTTGCTCCTAGTAGTAAGGCCAGGAGCCCCTAGTAGCGTCCTTGCTCCTAGTAGCGATGCCAGGAGCCCTAGTAGCTTCTTGCTAGTAGTCTATAATTCCCAGAATCTAAAAAATGCTTAACCCGACACCACATCCCTTTGACCAAGCCACAATGGCCAAAGATGACCACAAAACGGAGGGACGCCTGAGGCTGTGCCATCTCTTGGGTCAGACTTATCGGTATTTTCCCACGAAGACTCGTCAAAGGGGAAGGTTGATCCATGTGAGCATGTTCGAAAGAGGGTGCCATAGCGTGGTTTGAGAAGCCACCGGTTCAGCCGTCCACAATTAGGAGTCCCAGGTGGCTCTTGTGAGCACAAGTCAGCGCACTTTTGTGACCACACAAGCAACCTCTAGTTGAAGGGAGATGGTCGAAGGCGCACAGGACGCCACGATTCCCAAACCGTCACTCAACTCATTTGACCAAACATGCATGTGTGTGTGTGTCAAAATCCTGGAGAATGTTCGACTGCCCCCCTACCCCACAAAGTGTCCTCAGCAAGCTCCTTTTCGTTCCCAAAGTCATCTTGAAAGCACTGTCGTCTAGCATGATCATCTTCTGCACCATGCAATGCTGAGGGTCACGACCCCACTTCAGTAACCCTCTTCCCGAAGCTTAAACAAGTTCATGGTGCATCAAGTTGCGCTCAGCAAAGGCCTTCATTCTGGAGATAACGGTCTCCTTCCCGGTCATCTTTGGGTAGGTCGAGGTCATGCCCATCCGATTCCACATTTTTTCTAACTCTTTGTGCGTGTGTCGGAGGGCCAAAGAGGCAGCATCTGATTTTAGCATAGACTTCATCTGGGCCTGGGAATAGCTCAGGACATACTTGACACACAAAAAGAATATCTGAATGCTCTACATGCAATAGCAAATGCCACAACCTTAAGCAAAGCCATGTGTCTGCTTGTCCTTTCGACACCGTCGTACGACATCCTCGCTTGGCAGGGCGCTCTGAGATATGCGCCGTGGCAGACTTGCGTTTGTCGCCGAGAGTGGCACGTTCAATGCGGTTCACCAAAGTTGCTTTGGATGTTCGGGGGCCCGGTCTGGTGCCAGTGAGATCTTCCACCATTTTCATCAACTCGTGGTTGGTTTGATGATAGAGATCGCTGGGCAAGGTTCCCCCATGTTGCTCCTTGATACGTTCCAGAGCCATCTCATGCTGGCGGTTTGGCCTTGGCGTCAAGGACAGGAAATTAGTGAGGTCTGGCAGACGGTCTGGCAGAACCTCCCAATCCATCCTGGTATCCCGGTTCTCCGCCGGGAGAGTATGTGAGAGCCCTTTTGAGCGAGCAGAAAAGTGCTTGAGCAAGTAGGCGGATACACCAATGTCTGAGCACCTAACCTACAAGCGCAAATACATTCTTCCAAGAAGAGTCTCCAGTCTCCGTTTTGACAACCCCCAAGTCAGAGCCAGTTTGAGACTAGTGTTCCGTTGTTGACAGGGTTTGGGAAGAACCCTATTCCCGACCCATCCTTGAGTAGACCGTCCTATTACTGTAGTAGACATTTTCTTTTGGGATGTTAACCAGGGCACTCAATCAATCCCCAGATCAGAGGACTTCTACTCATCCCATCGTCCCCTCATATCTTCCACCTATGCACAGAACGAAACCTACTGTCCGGCCTGCTCGCAACAGCAAGGCTGCGGCAGCGGCCCAATGGTGGCGCATGTTGGCAGGGCTGTGTTGGCAGTCAACTGTACTCAGCGGGTGTTCAGCTGTTTTGGATTTGATGAGCTCTATATAAACGTCTCGGCCGACACGATTCCATTGCTCTGCTGCTTCGCGAAATTTAAGAAACCCAAACCTAATAGCAATTGCCTCCAACCTAGGAAACCCAAACATGCATAGGGTACCTAGAGTTTCACATGCTCTTCGGTCGTGCGATGCTGTCCGTTAGCATGGTAATTGATGGTACAAGACCAAACCCTTGAGGCCTAACATCCCTGGACTGAGTGAGACAGCAAACAAACTTGCAAAAATAAAGAGTGCGTGTTCATGTCTTTCTTCTCTGTTCCCTGGATTTGTTCAAGGCTACCTTCCTTCCTTCCTGAATATCCCTTCTCTCATTTGGGCTATATAAAGGCTTCAAGACAGACCTTTGAGGTGCCATCATGCGAGGTGCTCTGGTCGAAACTGCCATCATGAGGTCATGTGGAGTCAAGCCAGCGGAGAGAACTCTGCACCACCTAGCAGCTACCACATGTCAAAGCTTCCTGGGTGGGGAGACGATGGACCATTTCGCAGCAAAGGAAGTAGCCGCAGGCAAAAATGGGTCGCACTTCGATTGGTCACCTATCATGCAAGGGGTCCCGCTGCAATAAGTACAAAGAGTTTCTCGTTTGTTTGCAATGGGGTCAGAACAATCGGTCAAACCAAAATATGATGACCGGTCAAAACAAGAACACCTGGAGGAGCCAATTCACAAGTCTTGGCTGTCCAAGCTGATTGGTGATCTCATAGTTGGTGCGGCTGACCACCACATTGCCCACACGGAACCTGCACCAAGGCAGACAAAGGCCAGTGATATTTCCTCTGCAGGGTGTACCAATAAGACACTTTGAGTTGAGCCCAAGTGCTTCAGAATCCCATTACAGCATAGTTCATTTGGACCCCCTTGTTGGTCCAACTGGCACAGCCGAGCTTGGACATGGGCATCGTCAGGTTGCGTCAAACCTGAAGAAAGTGTCCGGCAAGATGCTGATCCTTGAGGTGTTTGTGAGAATGGAAGTTTGACTGGCAGCCGGGCACCTTTGAGCTTGGAGGGAGTACAGCTATGCAGCTATGCAGTAATGCACTTGCATCATACAGAACGACTCTCACAGAGCAGGCCATGAATTACGTGACTGTGCGACGCAAGCATAGGCTCTTGGACATCAAGTGCTCGGCAAAGTCTTTTGGTGAACACATGCCAGTTCTTGGCGAATCACCAAACTCACACTACCCCTGAGACAACTAACACAACCCCTGTTCTCTGGCCTTCTCAAGGCCAGCTGAGAGAATGAACCCTTCAACCAGACTTCGTAGTAATGGACCTTTCATTGGTTGAAATCACTGTTCACAATGTGCAAAGCAGCCGTCATCTTCAAGATGTTGAAGTCCTTTATAGAAAGTTCCCTCTTGGCCCCATTTCGAGCTCACCGCCACACCTTCCCGATGGTAAACCCACCAAAGCCCAGCCTTCGTTTCTACTGAACTTGTCACAACATTTGAAACCACCTGCGTTGAAAATTTGTCCTCCTCTGCTCCACAGCCGCTCTTGGTCCCTTGGAGCTCCCAAAAGGCAGTTCCCATCGTATTCAAGCCTGTTGGCAAACTGGCCACAAAGCTCCAGACGTGTGTAGCGACGTCTCCTGCAAACTGGAACTGTGCCTTCAGAGCTCTCAACAAGGATTTGCTATGCCACACAGAAATTTGTTATATATGGTTGGCGGAAAAGCTTGGTGAAGTGGAGGGTGGCTGTCCCGCAATTGGGGCGGCAAATCGGGTCCGCATTTCAGATGTGTGTGTGTGTGTGTGGCGCGCTATGCAAACGTTTGGTGGAAAGAGGCTGGAGGCTGATAAACCCACTGAAACGTGCTTGTTGCAAGCAACATGAGTTGTTCAGCAATGCAAAATTCTGTCATGCGGTTCTACAGCCCTCTGATTTAAAGCAAAGAACTTTTGGATAATTCTATCCGTTTCAATCGTTTGGGGCTGGTCCCATACCATTTCGCAACAAGAAGCAAATCGGGGAGCTGGAACACTATCCCCGTGCACTTGAGAGTCACTATGTCGCTATGTTGAACTGGAGACCTGGGCACCCCAGCGGCGGACGAATAACCAATTTCCAGACCTTGGTCGGACAATCTCATGCCAAGGGTACTCGTTATTGAGAGAGATTGAATAATCTTTCCATGCCCCACCCACCGTGAAGAGATGACTCTGATAATGTTGCCCCGTGGCCCAGGCATCTGAAGTGCAGCCATGTTCCTACAAATTGTCGTTTTGGTGGCATATCTCGATTCCAACCAACCGCGAATAATTTTTTGAAAATAACGTATGCAAGACTCCAATGATTGAGCCCCACATCCCAAATCCAAAGGCTGCCCATTTCGCCATATAGCCATCAAAACCATCGTCCAACTGAGTTTCGAGCTGCAAAGACATATTCGTGCACACTCAATGCTTCCTCGGGGTGTTTAAGATCAAAGGCAGATGCTGCATTGGTGCTGTAGGACCATTTTCGCAGCAGGTTTTTTAAGGAACCAATAGTTCTGGGGTACAGAAGATGTTTGTCTGCACGGGATATTCTTTTGAATGCTTGGGCCAGCTGCTGAATATTGTCCACCAAGTGGCCATGCCCATGGCTGATCAATCAGAATGAAAGGCCAAACAGGGCCTTTTGGTTGATGGAGCGGGGGGAAGTCCAAAGAAATTTGGATCTACTCATGCAATATATCTACGATGCAAAATTGCATGTATTCCAAGTGTCTGCAAAGTTTTGTTTTTCGTTGGTTGGGACTGTCTACGATGATGTCGTGGCTTGGCTCAAATGCAATACTTGCAACGCAAAATGCATGGTTGTGGCAAGAAAGTTATTGTTGCCCAGCAAACGCTTGAGACGGGAATAGCTGAAAGGCACATGGGCATAGACTTCAATGCAAAAATGATCTGACCAAACATACTCTCCATTGTCGACGAACAATGAAAGAAGGTGGCGCAGCACAACACATTGAAATGGTTATCTCACGCTGACTCCAAGATCTGCAACATTGAGAAGGCGCAATGGGGCAAGGCCCCTCGCCTATCAGGATACTCTAGGGCGTACCGACATGAATATTTGTGAGTGGGCCCGCTAAACTCCATAGTGAGGTGAAAGTAGACTGCAAAGTTACCAACCAAGACCGAGTGTAGGAAGGGCTATGATGCCACCACTCCACAACACAAGGCTAGGCACTACTTTCCGTCAAACGTGGATTTGTGATTTGAGCACAGGGGCAGCAACACCAACAAGCATCATTCATGTTCAAAGGCTGGGTCTGGCTGCAAACGCTGGTGAATTTGAAGTGCCGGAGATACCGGGCACGGGCAAAAATCCGCCAACCCCACTCAGTCATGTGGACTTGTATGAATATGTGTAGGATGAGTGGGGCCGGCGTGGCCGATGTCCCCACGAAGCCCAGCTCGAATCCTGGACTGGCTGGGGCCTGGCTCTACATTATATAAGCGGAGGCAACTTCTGCCAGAACCTCGCATCCTCATGCGCAGCAAGGGTGCTGATTCGGCAACGTCGTTGTCACCTTCCATCGATAAACAGTTTTGCGGAGCAACGCTTCGAAGTTTATGTAGGCTGGGTGGTTGGTTGTCACCCGCTCTACATGTTAACAAACAAGTATAGGGGTGGTGTGAGTCTGATCTCTTCCCATTAGGAGCCTCGTCAAAAGGACAATAACACTGATTGGTTTGGCGCCGTTTCTTTCAGTGCCCTGCCAAGGTGCCTTCCACCAACTCCACCTCCAACCCCTCCGGCGCCAAGCACTCCCTTTATAGCTCAGCAGCAGGGGCAAGCGGCTGTAAGCCGTTTGCTTGCGGGGGCCAGCGGCCAACAGTGCGTGGGCGGAGGGGCTCTGGTCGAGGCCGACAGCAGCATAATATAGGTGTGCCCGGTCTCCTTTCATGCGCTGGAAACCTTTTCCCCGCGGCGCCGTGGGCCTACAAAGGAGCAGCGGTCCTTTGGTGAACTTGGATCTCTAAAATCATGCTGGGGTACTCTGAGTGTCATGCTGGAAATTCCATGTTTGTTTTTAAGGGGTAGAGCTTGTATACGGTAGTATTTGTTGAGTGGTCGAGTTGAAGCAAGATTAGACTGACACTCGATATCAATATCCAACCTTTAGGGGAACGCAAAGTTTGGAGTAAGCCAACAATTAGCATCAAATTAAGTGAGGACATAAAGTTGGGCCAAGTGCACTGATCTGCGAAGCTGAACTCTTCGCGTGGACAATCAGCAGTCCCGCACATCCTGACATCCTTTTTCAATTTTTGAATCAAAAAACTTATGGTAAGACCCCAAAGAACTTCCAACACCTCACGTTCATCCCACTCGGACACGACACACCAGATCCACGGAGCCTGGAAGCGTGGACCCAGCCAAAGGCCTATAGTTCGGGCCGTGTGTTTGCCATTGGGTGTTTGTGTTTGTGTGTTTGTGAGTGTGTGGCTGAGTGTTTGTGTTTGTGGTTGCGCGTTTGGCGGCGGCGCGTTTGTGCTTGCGCTTGTGGGCGTGGTTTGTGTGCTTGTGGTTGCGTTGCAGCGTTGCTGCTGCGGTCTGGTTGTGCCCGCTGCGATCTGGCGCTTGCTGTTGAGGGCCGGCTCTGCCCACAGCGACCTGGCGCTTGCTGTTGAGGTCCGGGGCACCAGAAGGACAAAGGAAGGAAGGAAGGAAGGAAGGAAGGAAGGACTACTTGTAAAATCTAATCTAACAACCCCCACCTGCCAGGTGGGGAATATATCTAAAGATATGTGTCTTCATGTGGACGCCCAGCTCTCGCTCAACCTGCTTTCAGGTTGTGGTCGAGGTACGTGGCGTACCAGCCGGTCCACCCCGCATTTTCCATATGGCTTCATCCTAATTGAATACTACAGCACGATGAACTGAAACAGCAAATACCCAAAGATTGAAGCTGCTTGAAGATCTTGCTTGAAGAGGCAAACCTGGTTGTCGAATCCTGCAGCTTACAGTGTGTAAGCCACTCTTTGTCAACTTCCACTCTCAAGCGCTTTGCTGTGGCGGTCTCAGTCTGGAAGTGCCCTCAAAACCTGGGTTGGGGTGATCTGAAATGCATTCTGGATTTCTTGGCAGACATAGATGCCTTGTTTGACCACTGCTCGGTTTCCGTGGCAGGTCCCACTGTGGCGCTCCATTCGCCAAGCTGGTGACATCCTTAGGGAAGAGTTTGCTGACGCCTTTGGCAAACTCTTCCTGGCTGGGCCGGGGCAAAGTTGTCGTCCCACCGAACGACTGCCAAGTCATCCCGTAGGATGACTGCTGCTTTAGCCGCGCGGTTCCATCCCTACCCTTCCGGAGGCTGGCTCTTGCGGCGCCGGATTGGGCGCGATCCCCTTCCATCTTTGGATGTTTTCCTGGCGCTTTCCATTGTTTTCCTCGAGCTTCTGGCGTCTCCTGTTGAACCCGCTTCTCCCCTTCATGCGGTTAAGGGGTCGGTGGCCGCAGGGGGGTCCGCAGGACCCCACCGCCAAAGGCAGCTTACCCCAGGGTAAGACAGGCCGCTGCGCGCTCGGGCGAAAACGGAGGGGCCAGACAACCTCGCAAATACCGGTTCTTTTGCCTTTTGTGCAGCATAGCGCGCGCGTCCACCATACTACTCACCTATGGCTGCAGGCTTTGAATTTTATAAAGACACACACCTGTTACGAAATGATCTGCCCACGAGAATTGGATATAAAAAGTGCTCTGCCATTATAAAAAACAAGGCCCAAACACTCTATGACATGACCAAGCCATCAACATCCATGAGCGAGAAAGTTGGGTTGACTACGGGCAACTTAGCGCAACACAAGTGATTTTTACAAAATGAATCAAAATGACCTGTCCACACTACTATGTGGATATCTCATCACAACATGATTTCTTCCAAAATGACTCTGTGAGGATTCCATACGGACACATTTGTCTTCTTTACAGAATGGCTTAACTTTGTTTTTGTACGATGTCCATTTCTGAATTCTCTATATCCCCTCTTTTTGTATAGAATCACAAGCACGGGCCTATATTTGTGCCTCTTTTTGGCTTTTATGAGATGGGACCTCGGTGGGCCAGTTTATGAGGTCAAGGAATCAGCATTTCATAAGTGCATATGCAAGGTGGATGCGTGCGCAAAGAACCTTGAAAACACACAATGTCTTTTAGCGTTTTTTGCAAAACATGATAATGTACATTTTTCGCAACATGGTCCTATTGGCTCAAGATAGCCTCAAGGTGCGTGTTATGCCGTCCTAAATGCCTTGCATAATTATTTGCAGTTTCTGTTTCTGGTACTGGTACCAACAACCACCACAACAACAACAACAAGTCTCACCTGTTTGCCCCTACCGCCTGCCACTGAACCCCCTGCTGGCCCGCTGTTGGGCGTAAGCCCATTAAATAGCCCAGCTCGATGTAATCATCTATTGTGCGCAGATCCCTTTTTCCTCCAAGCCAGTGGAGATCTGGCCGCTTCGCAGAGAAGCATCCTGCACCTTGGTGCGGAACTTGATTGTAAAGCGTAAAATCTTCACATGTAAATCGGAACAGATTGGGACACATCAATGGGTGCGAGCAATCAAGCTGTCTGTCCAAAATTACAGCCATGAGCATTGAGGGGCATTGACATGCATCAGAAATCTTTGTGGGACTGCATATTTGTCGATTCCACCAATGTTAAATGCACGTGTGATTGGTGAGTGTTAATAATGGAACGGCAAAAGGCAATCTGCGGGTGTGGTGGTCTGTTCTCTTTGAAACATGTGTTTTTGATGAAAGTGATGACTCTGGGTTCCCCGAAAGGATATGGGTCGCAAAATAAGCCTTGCGCTTTGAATCATCCCCCTGCTAGTTCTTGCCTCCTCTGGATCGGTGGGATACCTGGGGCTTCTGTGCCTCACCGCAATCGAGGTTCCGGCTCTGCAATCGATTTCGCAGCCCTGAGACGTGGAATGGCAATGGCCAACTGAGAGGAAAAGCTATTTCTGTATACATTCAGCCTTCCGATGTGGGGGACCTGGACTTCTCCCTGAGATAGTAAATCCACGTATTTATAAGTCACAACCTACAATCCAAATTGTCTACTTCACTCCACATTCAAAACCCAATGCAACGCATGCAAAGGCTGCATGAAAATGTGGGGCCATTTTCAGTCACTGGTGGTTTTGCAGCATAGACTGCTAGCTGCTACATGTGAATTCCATGAAGCCACGGCCGGTCCTGTGGATTGCTTACTGTCTCACTCAACTAGCGATGGCTTCCAACCTACTGGTGATGGCCTCCAACCTACTAGCTATGGCCTCCAACCTAATAGTGCCAGTGTCCAGGAGGCAAACAGCCATGTTGTTTTGAGGATGCAACCTCAGGACGTCTCAGGACCTTGATCTTCCTGGGATTGGTGCGTTAACCATCAACCTTGGAATATAGCTCTCTCCGTACACCCTTGAATCAAAAAGAACATGCAGCGGAGAAGAACAGCTAAAACCAGTATGTTTCTGTAACTTGCACAGTTGGCCTGTGCTATTGAATGACCATCGCTACTAGTAACAAGTGCCTTACTAGTAGTAACAAGAAGCTAGTAGTAACAAGTGCATCGCTACTAGTAACAGGAGCACCAAATGGGCGACACACCCCACTGTTCAGGCCTTCCCAGGCCGCCTTCCAGGG